GATCTAGACTGTTTTGGAGTAAAGTTTGGAAACTTATAGATGATGATGCTAATGTCACTTTTTTTATGGAAAATGTTGGGTTTTTTTTGAGAGTCAGAAAGAAACCAAATACAAACAGCTTCCAGAAAAAAAGAGACTTTCTTTTTTCTCCCTGACTTAAGTCAAAATCTTTGTTAATGACAAAGCTCTCATTTGTGTTGTCATGGTGACAGGATTTCACACAGGTAAAATGCACACTTTTGTTATATGATCACATACGATGCACAACCAGTTTAGTAGAAAACGCAAGTAAGTATTGTGAGCAAACATTTCCTGTTATATTGGCAAATTACCTCAAGTGATTGACTGGTTATTGTTCAGCAGATTTGTACACGACAGACTGTTGGAAAATGTTCTGACTAAACTAATCTGAGACCATCACTCCTGTCAGATGCTACAATTTTATTTTAAAAATCAGTTTCAAAGTTCTTTATTCTCCATTACATCTCCTATACTGTTTAACAGATGAGATAATGGTTACTATCATAACATTTATCTTTCATGTACCCTGTCACCAAGGTACTCTGGTCTTTACCATTATTTCATCAAAAAAATGATCATAATTACACATGTCAATATGATCCTCTCAGTCTGAGTAGCTGTAATGAAAACATTGCCATATTCAGTACATCATCTGTCCTAACTTTCTTGAAAGTAGGCATTGCTGAGTCTATTGTGTTCTGACAACATAATCTCAGTTCTGATGCTAAAATTTAGCTTTTGACTGCTGAATTTTCCATTAAAATTATGGCTTTTACAATTTTATGTAATATTCCACTGTAGTTAACTCTATTCATTCTCCTTTAGTAAGTTTGAACATTTGTGGGTTAATACAGTAAGTATCATTTTGTGGTTTTTGAAATGAGGATTTCTTCTTAACATCCATAAAGAAATCTATTGAAACATGCATAATCCTTCTAAAATTTTCTGTATTCAGTTTTAATGGGTTATCTTTGAAAGCAAATTAAAAACAAAAAACACAACTTGCAACAGTGCTGTAATTTATTTTTCACATTGAAGTAATAAAAGTCTCAGTGAATAAGTATAGTTACATTCGATAATGATTCAGAGTAAATAAACTGAAGGCAACTGCTGCCTACTGAGACACTGCACGTGCAGTCCAGCTCCCAAGAACAGCTCCAGCTCACAGAATCACATAATCACAGAATCACAGAATGGGTGAGGTTGGAAGCGACCGCAGTGGATCACCCGGTCCAACCTCCCTACTCAAGCAGGGTCATCCCAGAGCACATTGCACAGGATTGCGTCCAGATGGTTCTTGAATATCTCCAGTGAGGGGGACTCCACAACCTCTCTGGGCAATCTGTTTTAGTGTGCTGCTACTTGCACAGTAAAGACATTTTGCATGGAAGCAGCTCAAACTGGTTCACACATCTGTGGGAATGATCTTTCATAAAAATCCCACAGAACTGGGATGATTTTTGTGTCTGAGAGATTTTGGGACCTTTCCATGGACAGAGTTCTGTGATGCCTCTTAGAGTATTGGGATAGATCAACCAATACTAGAACACCGAGGCACAGGTTCCTCCCCTTTTACTCTTTTACAGGAAATCTCTAGCCCCTTTTTTAATTTTTTTTTTCTTTTCCTGATTGTCTATTTTGGAATGCCTAGGTTTGGCCAGAGTTCAGGAAGTCTGCACTGCAGTTTTAATACCATGTACTGAGTCATCAGTAGAAAAATCTGCAATACAATAAACATTAAAAATTTGGGGATTGTGCAAAAGCAATTCAGTTAGTACTGAAAAGAAAAACCTCACAGGGCTCTGCAGCACTGGTTATGTAATTAATTGCATCTAATTTTGTATTAGTTTCCACTTTAAAAGAACATGAAATGTCAAGAACTTCTGGATTGTGCAGCATAGAGGGTTTACACAATCAAAGGACTTTTCCTTAGGACTTAGCTCCTCTTTCTTGAACAGGTAATTGTCTTCTTTATAATTTCTTACTTTATCTGCTGCTAACAGAAGAGAAATTTAAATTGTGGCACACAAAAAAATTACCTTAGAAAAAGAGTTATTGGATGCAAAGGACATGCAAATAGAAACATTGGAAATTATGCAGAGTTTCATATTTATGAACAGGAATGCTCTTTCTTTTCTTTCTTTCATTCCCAAATTAATTTCCTCTGTAGATGTAATAGCTTTCTTAATCTCAGAAAAATGCAATGTATGAAGAGAGTATTCAACCTTTAGGGACTATTAAAGAAATGTATGCACAATACCTCAGGAAAAGGCATCTCCGTCTTCTGACAAGGTATCACCATGCATAGTAGGAAAATAAGAGGAGAAATAATAATATGGAAGACATAAATTTCTGGCAGAACTCCCTCAATACAACTACATTTTGAAAAAGATTAGGCTGGTTTGTTTTTTGAGCAGCAGTTTGTAAGATCCAGTCCAAGAAGAGGAGGGTCCCTCCTGTAAGCTCCCCAAGTGAGAACAGCCTTCAGCACACACCCTAGTTCTTAGGGATCCCTCTTACTCCTTGTTCAAAAGTCCATGGAGCTGAGACAAACAGCTGAGAGCACCCTGGACACACACCTTGGTTGCACCAGCTGAAAATAGTCAGCAGATCACCTACATGTGGGCTGAGGCTATCACAAAGACGTGATGAGTCCATCAGCTCCTTCACCAGCAGTGTGGAGCAGGTACAACAGAGGACTTGCCTTAGAGGGCTTGGACTTTGTTGCCTGTTGATAAGCTTCCAGACCCAGAATAATAGTATCAGTTACCGCTGAATAAGCACACCAGAGGGAGAAACCAAAATCGCGCTCAACTTCTCCTGAAACAAAGTTGCTGAAGACAAGAAGTGTAGAAAGGATGTGGAGATGGGCAAAAAGAGATGTATCAGGGGAGATTTTTAAAGAGTTCTCTCCGTAAAATGATGCATGCGCAAGTTCGGGAAAAAAATTAAAAGCAAAGACCCTGTGCTTGGTACCTGCTGTACCAGGGCAAAAGGAAACGCCGGTAACAATTGGCTTAAAATTCCTGGAGACAGTAAATGCTGAATCACAATATCTGCTGCAGGGGGGAACCCTTGGAGAAGTGGGATGCATTGCTATGGCTGGTGTAAGACTCGTGTGATCTGAGCACTTAGGCAGTGACTCATGCATACTAGTCTGAGCCCAGAGGAACAGACCAGTAGTCAGGGCCAGGTTGGATGGGGCCCAAAACAATTTTATCTAGTGAACGGCCCCCATGGCAGGGGGATTGGAACTAGATGATCTTTAAAGTCCCTTCCAACCCAAATGATTCTATGGTTCTATGATTCTATGATGCTATCGTTATACTCTGAAGCAAACAAACAAGTGGGAAAAAGAAAAATCATGGAATACAAGTGGCTCAAAACCTACGCTTTTTTAGACATACTATATAAATAGTTTGTAAATAATTTCTGGTAAAAGTGCTTAAGTATACCTTTATCCTAACGTGCTGTGTGTTTTCTATTTTAATTTCATGCCTAAATCGATAGCTAATTATAATTTGACAAGAAAAAGTGATTGCAATGGATACGATCTACCTGCTCGGCTGTTAGATTGTAATGTGGTTGGCTGGATTTACAGTGTTACCACAATTTGTCTACACCATTTCCAGAGCCAATGTAAGAATCAGGAAATAAATTTCTGGCAAATCATTTCAACACCACACAGAATTGCCCCAGAAGTCCTTTGTCTGTGGTTGATAGAAGAAGGAAGATTTTTATGTCTAATTGTTGACACTCATTTGTCCAGGATTGAAACAGTTTCCATCTTGGGTCTTATGACCAGATGCAAAAAACTCTATCCAGGACCATGGTAATTTAGGCAGTGATTATTAAAGCAATGTATCCTTGAAGAATCTGATAGTACAATTGTCATCACAATTAACATCCAAGTCCTTTTCTAGGCCTATCATACAAACGCACATGCCCCCCACAAATACATACATATGAGAGAGGTTTTCTCCCTCATCCTGCAAACTTGTTAAGAAATGGACAACTGGACATGTAAAAAATTCTCTTCTTTGATTTTCATGCTTACCATTCATTAAAGGGTTACTTTCCAAAGCAGCACAAAAAAAAAAGAAGAACTGGTTGACCGAAAGTTTTTTTTCCTTACAAAGAAGTGTCAACCCTGAGCTTGTAATTAAGAAGTTAAAATCTGTGATTTATATATATTTATATATATAAAAATAGATGATCGTACTAAGACTAAAAAAGTGAAAGAAATCTCCATGTCAGTACTATATATTTATTTGTTCTGAGATTTTGTAGACGAAATCCTTGTGACACTGAAATGAACTGATATGAAAGATGTAGTTAGGTGTGAAACACACTATTGATCCAGTTGCTGTTAGTCCATTAGAGAATTGCCATCTTGGTAGGATAATGAACATAGTAGCAAAAAGTTCTAATCAATGTCAGAACAGTAACAAAAGGAAAAAGATTCTATCACAAGAGGTTATTTTCTCTCTGAACCCTTTAGGGGTCAGTAGTGTTGTTTAACATTACCATCATGGCTGATGAGCTCACAGTGGTGAGCTAAGTGGAAAACTGTGCCAATTGCATAACATGGATAAATCCTAAAAGAAACTGTGCTACTACTCCTATTTTTACTGGGCATTAAGATTTAAATCCTAAACAACTATAATATGATAACATGATATTCTGGAGCTAGTGGAGCTACTACCGTACTAAAAGGTAAACTTATTTTCCAGCTTCTCTACCTTCATACCAATCTGATGTGTTTGGTAGATGGAGTGCAAGACATTCACTGTTGAGACATATTTTTGTGTTGGAAAAAAAAAAATCCAGCCTTCCTCCCTATAACAATGATCATTATGATGACCTGAATCATCTTACAGAAGTTCCTAAGGAAACCTGGCTGTCAGTGAAGAACGGTTGCATTTTTTCCTTTCTTATGTTTTTGTGGGTTTTTTGTTTGTTTGTTTGATTGATATTCTGTTAAAATGCAGCAGCCTTGAATCAGGCCTAATTCAGAAACAAAACTGTTTTCTTGGTTTCTTCCTCCCTCTTTTCTCTGATTGGGGAAAAAACACTGTAAGATCCTTTTTCCCTTTTGCAGCATAAAAGGAAATGAAGCTCAGAAAGTCTCCTGTAATAAAGGTTTGAGAAAGAATTCTCTCAAGAGTTGATATCGTCTTCAGAGTTATCTGAAAAAAGCAGGAAGCAGTTCAGTCTGGCACCTGGTACTCTTTGGGAAAACTAAAATGGGAAGCAGGTCGCAGTACTGCTCTTTTGTAGAAAATTGCAAGTGTTTGTGGCATGGTCCATTGTCCTAGAGTATAAGAAAAGAAGAAAGTTGGCTGTTTCTGTAGCTAAAACACAGTTTCTCCCACAAGATCCAGGATTATCTCCACTGTCTCTGCAGTACCAGGCTGACAAAGATGACAAGCAACGTCTGCAGTGACCAGCCAGGCTGTGTGGCTGAAGCCTCCACCTCTCTCCTGTCTGAGTCGACAGGTGGTGCTTCAGTGGTGATGAAATCAAACTCGGTGGGACAGATGTCATCTGTACAGCCGCTTCCACTGCCTGAGCCGCTGGTTTCATCACCTGGCACAAAGGAGTGAGGGGAACAACATGAGTGTGGTTGGTTATAGCTTTCATCCCTTTTCTCCATTCCCCTTCCACCTGGCACCCCAGTGGAATGAATACACCGGGAATGGGAAAGTGGTGGTGATGCTAGATTTCACTCAACAAAGCATCCAAATGAAAGCCACTGTTGCTTAATTAGATGATTAAGTGCTCTTCTGAAAAAGAACTGGGCTGTTGGCATTATGGAAAGCTCTCAGTGCCTTGATACGCTAGACATGAAGATTAATAAAAGAAGCAAAAGAAAGAACTATATAACTGGAGTTTCACGTGACAGAAAAAGAATTCTTATGTTGTCAGCAGCGCAGAGCACAAAGACTAAAGAAAGTCATTGCAATGGGACCAGTTATTTAATAAATGTGTTCCAAAAAGACATTTATGTAATGACAGTTAATGGTTTCTTACTTGTATCCTGGAAGTTGACATCATTCCCATTATACGCATTTTTCAGTTTGTTAGTCATGACACGTAAGGCCATGATTTGTTGTCGAATGAAGGTGTCTGGCCTTGTGATGTCCACATCTACTTCTGGATTGTTGATTTGGTTGGTCAAGCCATCGTTCATAATCTCAGGCAAGTATCTACATAGGAGGATGAATCATTAGTTCGAAGGCAGTAATTTCAGAAATAAAACACTGTACAGTAAACGATGTGCTAAGCAATTCAATATGCAATTTTTGAACAGATCCAGTAGAACTATTTTAAAAATATAGTTTTTAATTTTAGTGACTTGGAAGGATCTTTTTAGTAGCTTAGTTACATAGGGAGCAGAATAGATTTAGGTTTTTCAACCCTTAACTTTACATATACTCTCCAGCAAGTGCACTGACTGTGTGAGCTATGGAAAAGGTTCAGAAGCCAGCAGTAAGTCACTGCATGTTCATATCCTCTACCGACGTGAGTGGTTATACACTAAATTAAACATCTAACAGTGCATTCTTCTGGTTTTACTTCTTTCTGCTTAAAAAATATGAAGTCCTTTGCTTTATAGAGCATATTTGTTGCTCTGAGGCAGTTTAGAAACCTATCTTGAGGCATTACGGATTTGTTTAAAAAAACACTTAATAAATTTTCTTCTCCAGTTCTTTCTTGCATCCCTTTTTTAGGCCACCTTTAATAGCATCTCCAGCCTATATGACATCCAGGCCCATAAAAGGGGTTGTTATTTTACCAGACTCCAGTGTTTTCTTTGATTTGGTCCTTATTCCTTAAAACCAGGCTACACTTGCATCTCTCGTGTACTTTGTGAATAATGTTTAAGGTATGGCATTTCCTATCCATCCATCCATCCATCCATCCAACTGAATCTTTTATTCAAGCTCTTATGTTATAATTTCTTGATTACTGCAGTATTCCTTTCTCTGACCTTGACAAAGGCAGTGTTAGTCTGCTCACAGTCAGCAAGTGTGCTTTTGCAGGTAACTCTCCTCTAAAAATAAGCAGTCTCCAGTCATCCTAGCGTAAAAATCTCCAACACCCTTTGTTACAAAGATGCACACTTTATTCCCTGCTGCTCTTTGTCCTCAGGAAGCTCTTCTTATAGGTATCAGTAAAGCTACCTTTTTTCTGCTTTGAATCTCGGTTAAAAATTATCTGTGCATTTTACAGCTGCCAGGCTGATAAAAGGTTGAAATTATTTCTCTGTGCTGGTATTGTACCCTGAGAAAACAGTGTACCACTGCTTCTCTGTTCTCTCTTGCCTGTCTTTACCTACTTATCTTTGTCTCATATTTAGACTGCGAGGAATTTGGGGCAGTTCAACCCTTTGTATATGTTTTTTATAAGGATATGATCTATTTTGTAATTATTGTGCATATCAGGCTATGCTGTTGATGTTTGTTGGACTCCTCATGTGGGTATGTGCTCAGACAGTAAATAATAATAGCACAGTCTAGCCTACTACTGACAAACATTCACCATGCCTGGTACCAAATATAGTTTAAGAATATTTCAAATCACTCTCACTTGAACACACACAATTCTCTATCAATATTCAAATCTGGCATTGCTGACAGCATTGTTCATATTGATCTGTAAAAATAAATATATCTTAAAAATAAATGTGAAAGTAATGGAGAAGAAAGGACTTTCTCTGCTGAAGTCATGGTTAAGGGAAAATAAGTTTTGTGTTGCTTCTGGAGGTTCACAAAATGGCAGCTGCTTTGCTGCACCAAGGAAGGGTTTAGTCTCATCGTAACAAGTTCTAGCTTTGCAAGATGAGACTTATTTGTTGCCAGTGGCCTTTGAAAGCTCACATGAGAATGATCCCAGGGGAGTATGAACATATAAGAACAAAACAGGATTGCCAAAAATATCCACCCTCAAACTGCATGTCCTGTTGTTTCACTAGTACCATGATGTGAAATAATAATGCTGTGGGATCCCATCCAGACTCCTGTGGTAAGGCTTATTACGGTGAGAATACAGAGCCACCACCCCTAGCACAGAGGACTGCAGACCACGATGTTATCAATCACTAAAGATAGAATAGGAAATAATTCTTCAGAGATGCCTGGAAGCAGCAGGATGGAGACCTTGGCAGGCAAGGCTGCCCTGGGCTGCAAAGGAACAGATCTCCATCTGTCACACGTCTCTACAGATGAAATGGCTGCTGTGGATAAATTACTCATTCTAGAATTAAATCAGCGATTTCAAGGTGAAAGTTGATTAAAAAAAGCAAGGATGCAAGAATTGACCTTCTGGCTTAGAGAGGATTTCTGTCTTGCCCAGTATCCTGTCCATGAAAATGGCTACAGCTGTTAGCAACTAGAAGTGATTTGACATTGCCGAATATTCATGTGGATTGGTCTCCTTGTTTATGAAAGGTTAGCTGTTCTTTACTGCACGCCATCCATAAGAAACTGTTGCTAGCTCTCCATGGCAGCTCACAGGCTTTCTCTGACTGATTTCTGTTTGATTTCAACTTGTCTTATCATCAATAATAGAAGAAGATTCTAATTGCTTCTGAGAGCAATTAGAGAGTGCTCTGATGTGTGCATTTCATCCAGGTTCATATTTTGCACTGTGTCTAGTGTGGATCTGATGTCCTTCTGAAGACCATTTAACTTTAAATGGGCAAGCCCGTTCAGTTGTAGGAAGTGATTTTGTCAAATTGTCACATATCCTGCTATATCTGCCCAGGATGTGGTGATCTCCAAAGCATTGCTGGCATGGAAGGGTTTAACCTCTCAGAAGAACAGTCCAGTGTACTTCACCTAGGTGTATAAGGGAGTCATACTGGCTGTAGGTCACAAGAAATCCATGTTCTTATGATTGCCTAATGGTTAGGAGGATACTTAAATTCCCTTGGTGTTTAGGGCATAGGAGCAAAATAATTAAAGAGGTTTGAAATTTATCTTTAGGTTTACACAGATAATAAAACCTGTATGTTTGAATGACAGTGTCTGCATATCAGCGAAGTTTCGCTCTTGCCAGATCTAGTCAACAGAAGATCTAGTCACAGCTAGTCAGGAGTTTATTCATCAGTGGAGCGGGGACAGCTGTTAGAGTCCCATGTGCCTTTGGCCAAATGACTAGTTCATTATATTTCATCTGCTGGGATTTACTTGAATAAACACAGACATCTGGTGCCATTTGAATACTCTTGGTTATTTTTCCTCTTCTCGTCACTAGCCCTGAAAGATGAGGCTTTCTAGATCATATCTGCAGGCTTGAGGGGGAGGTCTTGGACATTTGGGGCATCTAAAATTATAGTGTTCATCTTACTTTAGGGCAGCTGCATTGAGTCTTGAATGCCACTTCAGCCACCAGGACTTAGGCTTGGTGTTGTGTTGCCACTCCAGTAGGGTCTGAATATCCTGTAGGTCTAATTTGCCAGTTACATGCAGGTGTCTTGACTATTTGGACCATCTAACATAGCAGTAGGTAAGTGTGTTCAGGCAGTGGAAAACTGCCTCTTTAAGTACATGGACAGGATACTGGGGCTCTCTTCAGGCACCTTAACATGGGTGGTTTTAAAAATGCTCAAGCAATTTTAACCTAGCCTGTGGTCCAGATGGGAGGTAGTGTCCTGTATCATACTCATCTTAGATGTGCTAGAGAGTCTCCAATGATACTACTATCACATGGGCAACATACGCCTTTTTGTCTCACCTACATTTAAGTACAGGAATTCACATGTCTGAATGTGTAGCTGGATTCTGGCCTCATTACTGAACAAGTCTACCTGCTTCCTCAGGGGTGGAAAAAACAGTCAGGAAAGCCTATACTGAATGTAAATATCTTTGAATTGTTTTCCTTTCTTTAAAGGGAAGAGATGTAGACATGAGAACATGCAGCCCAAGGTGTTTCCTGTGTGACAGCCTCAGAGAGGCAGCCCCAGCACATGTTCTGACAAAAGCATTTTGATGTGTGTGGGGTAGGGTTAAGTCACACCAAATAGGAAGCCATGTCTTGGGACCACTTTTTGACAGAAGATTTGTTGCTGGCTGGGCAAAGTTGTTGAACACAGCTGCTTTTGCTGCAGTTCTGTAAGTGGAGACACCCTTGTGAATTTTGAGCTTTACTGGTGCTTCTGCTCTAGTTAATGATCTCTTTGTAGGCTTGGCCATTACAAGAACTGTATGCCCATTATAAATGAAAAGAAGTGCCAACCTGAATCAGTGTCTGTTCTTTGCATTCTCTAAGCAAAAAAAAAAAAAAAACAAAAAAACCCCAAACAAACAAGCTTTCTTAGCCCTGTGAGTATAGAGAAGCTGAACAATACTGTTTGTTTTCTGCTGTTTGCTCCTTGCTCAGCTATGTCAGGATTTTAGTGTAATTTACATTGTTTTCTAAAATATTAATGCTTGCTGTTCCTCTTAACTTTTCCACAGTTCTTGAGTTCTCGCTTGTCTCAGCAGACACAGCAAAGATGTCTTTTGGCACATCATAACCAAGAACCACAAAGTCTATTTAAAACCACTTTTTTTTTTTTTTTTTTTTTTTTTTTTTTTTTTTTTTTTTTTTTTTTTTTTTTTTTTTTTTTTTTTTTTTTTTTTTTTTTTTTTTTTTTTTTTTCTCTAATAACCAGTTAATACTCCAGGGTTTCTACTTCCTTTTCAAGTCTAGAAATGACTGATGAATCTTTAGGTCATTTATAGAAAGGCTGTAGATATGACGCTACCCCTCCCCCCTTCACCATCCTGCCCCCTCAAAAAAAAAAAAAAGGAATCTTCTGATTTTTAAAAACACATCTGGCTTGAAGGGCAACATTCTCCATATTTTGCTGCCACAGCAGCTGCTTACAGTACAACTGGAGCATGTCACCTAGGCAGTACTGGAGATTTTCCAGGTACACAGAATTGTAGGCAATAGAGTACAAAATACAGCACAGGCTTACTCAGTCTGGGCTGGGGCTACGCACTCACATCTGGTCCAGAAAGATAAGTGTAGTGGAAAATTGGCTTGTTTGGCTAACTAGATCACCTCATCTGATTCTGTTTGCTCAGGAGGTAATCCCCACAGGATATTTTCAGTTTGGGTTTGTGGTTTTTTTTTTTTTTTTCTGGTCCATCTTGGAGAAAAGCTTGAGGAGACATAAGGAGAGGGAGAAAATAGCTCATCTGCCAGTTTGCTGAAAGGAAGATACAAAAATAAAGTAGAGCCATCAATTAAGAATAGGCAGTTTTCACACTGACTGAGAAGTGGTTTATTCACGCTTTCACTAGTGGTGCTAAACAATTATTTGTGACTACCTCCAAGTAAAGGACATTCAACTCATTCTCACTGTAAGTCTTGCTGGTAAGCAGTGGGAAACTTTCGGAGGGAAAGTACTAATCTGGAGAGTCTTTCTTCCCACCTGAATTTCACCAGGAATTAAAGAGTCTCTGCCAGGGAA